GCCCCAGTCTACCACGACCAGAAAAGAGGAGAGGAGGTGATGCCAGCTGCTAGGGGCCAGCACAGGCAGGTAAGCCAGCTCACTGGGAAACGGGAGAAGCGCGGAAGGGCTTGGTTTCAGGGCACCCTGCCTGCTGGGGGTCGAGAGAGGTCCGAGGCTGAGGGATGTCAGAAAGGGCTCCACACTTCACTCTGGGTGAGTTCAGAGATGCAGAACAATAAGGTCTTGCAGAAAAGCAACTTGGGAGTAGCGTGTTTAGTCAGGAGGAGAGCCGCACACTGACAGCAGCACAGACAGCCTTGTCAGGGATAGCGGGAGCACATCCTGTGGGAAGAGTCTCCTCTCTTGGAAACTCTTTCACCCCCTGCCTCTTTATGTTATTGGGAAAAAAACTCTGTGAAACGATACCTGAGTATATCTTTATCAATGAACTACATACATGAGCTACTTGAGACATGACTTTCATAAATTAATCTTCTGACTATGTGACTTCTAAAATTGGAATAAATTGTTACTTCTCTTTTAGCAAACTAACCTCTGGAGAGCATTTATGAATGCATTTTGTGGTTTTTGTTCATTTACAAAATGAAAAGAAACTTATGCAGTTATACACGGAACAAATCTTAATATTAAAGAGGTGAATGAGAGAGTGTGTGAGCTGAAAATTATGATCCATCAAAGCAGCTCAGGAGTAGCATGCAATGGACTCAGGAAGACCTTTCTGAAATCACTAGGCGACTGCCCTTGTCCTCGCAAACACAGACATTTTCTCTTTCTCCTGACTGGCACCTCAACTCTTTTGCCACCTCCTTTTCTAACTCTCCCCTTCATGGATCACTGCCTTGTCGTGGCGAAGGGGCTTGCGTAGCTCAATGAAGCTATGAGCCATGCCGTGCGGGGTCACCCAAGACGGACAGGTCATAGCAGAGAGCTCTGACAAAACGTGATCCACTGGAGAAGGAAATGGCAACCCACTCCAGTATCTTTGCCATGAAAACCCCATGGACAGCACCAAAAGGCAAAAAGATATGATGCTGGAAGATGAGCCCCTCAGGTCGGAAGGTGTTCAATATGCTACTGGGGAAGAGCGGAGGGCTAGTACTAGTAGCGCCAGAAAGAATGAAGTGACTGGGTCAAAGCAGAAAGGACACTCAGTTGCTGATGTATCTGGTGGTGAAAGGAGCGTCTGATGCCGCAAAGATCTATACTCCATAGGAACCTGGAATGTAAGATCCATGAATCAAGGCAAGCTGGATGTGGTCAAACAAGAGATGAGAAGACTGAACATCAACATCTTAGGAATCAGTGAACTAAAATGGACAGGAATGGGGGAATTTATTTCAGATGACCATCAGGTATACTACTGTGGGCAAGAATCCCTCAGAAGAAATGGAGTAGCCTTCATAGTCAATAAAAGAGTAGGAAAAGCAGTACTGGGATACAGTCTCCAAAATGACAGAATGATCTCAGTTCGAATCCAAGGAAAACCATTCAACATCACAGTAGTCAAAGTCTATGCCCCAACCATTGATGCTGAAGAGGCTGAAGTTGACCGGTTCTATGGAGACCTACAACACCTACAAATAACACAAAAAATGATGTCCTTATCATCATGGGAGAATGGAATGCTAAAGTAGGAAGTCATAAGATATCTGGAATAACAGGCAAGTTTGGCCTTGGAGTATGGTTTTCCCAGTTGCAATATATGGCTGTGAAAGTTGAACCACAAGAAAGGCTGAGTGCCAAGGAACTGTGGCCTTTGAATTGTGGTGCTGGAGGAGACTCCTGCGAGTCCCTTGGAATGCAAAGCAATCAAATCAGTCAATTTCAAAGGAAATCAACCCTGACTGCTCTTTAGAAGGCCAGATACTGAAGATGAAACTCAAATACTTTGCCCACCTAATGAGAATGAACGACTCACTGGAGAAGACTCTGATGCTGGGAATGGTTGACGACAAAAGGAGAAGGGGACATCAGAGGATGAAGCGGCTAGATGGAGCCACTGGGGCAGTGAGCTTCAGTGGACTCTGAGGGATGATGGGGGGCAGGAGAGCCTGGAGGAAAGTTGTCCATGGCATCATGATGGGTCAGGCACAACTTTGCAACTAAACACAATTTCTAACTCTGCTGGCGGATCCCACAGCAAACCTCTTTATGAAGCCCTGCCTTACATTCAAGAACAGTGACCCTGCGACAGCATTCCTCTGTTCCTTACCTGGAAATAGCACCAAGCACAGGATGAACAATGTCCTCAAGAGCTTCATGTTCTGGCCAAGCAGGAGGGAGAGAAAGTGGACCTGAGCTTTCCCAGGAAGCAAAATATTTTGTAGTCTGTGAACTGGAAGGGACACTCTGAAGTTCCCTGATGTGCCCTTTATGAGTGTAAAAATTGAACTGATGAAATTTCTTCTGAAATGAGAAAAAGGAAGTCTTCTCTTTCGCAATCCTTTCTACTCGCACTGCTGGGGTTGGTTATTTCTTCTTTTATTTTCAAAGAAATTATGATCAATTCAAGTTGAGACAACGCAGATTCCTCACTGTCAGAGCAATGCAACCGTGAAAGCAGTTGCCTAGAGAGTGGGTGGACTCTCTCACACTAGAGGCATTCAAGGTGAAACTGGACAGCCATCTGAGTGGGATGGTGTGACTTGGTGTCCTGCAACAGCAGGGTTGAATCAAAGGGCCTACATGACCACTTCCAACCTCTGCTCGTCTATGATTCTATGATTAGCCTCACTGGAATGCAGAAGTGAAGGGTGAGCTGGCTCCCTGTGGTTTGTATATACCGCCACATTATTTAGTGTGGTTGCAACAAAGAAAAATTCTGA